GAGGCAGAAGCCCGCGTCAGGGACCCAGTCTACGGCTGCGTCCCCGCCATCTCATACCTCCACCGCCAGGTCGACCGCCTCCAGAAGGAACTCGACTCCGCCAACGCCGCCCTAATCCGCCTCGCCGGCGGGCCTCCGCCGCCGCCCCATAATGGTAATCATTACTATCACCGTCCGCCATGGGGAGGCGGTGGGTTTTATAATGACCCTAATAATGGAGGATGAATTCGATGGAGAGAAAGAAAAAGAGAAAAAAAGAGGAGACAATTGGAGGTGGTGGTGGAGAAGCTATGTGTTTGCCTAGGGTTTTGGTTGCATCTTTCTCTCTCTAGGGTAATGGACTCTTTCTCTCTTTTTCTTTTTTTTTAAAAAAAAAAAATTGGGGGATTGATGAGAAGGTATATTTATAATTGTATTGAGGATATATATATATTTCTATGGTTTCTTTGAAAATTAATATTTTGTGGTTTTGGTTCTTCACATGCATTGTTTTACTTGGTGCATAGGCTGCAAAAAGTTAAAGTTCGGCTTGAACTCGAGTTTGATCAAACTTGAGCCGAGCTCGAGCGGCTCGAGCTTGTCGATCTTGCGAGCGACTCCAGATATATAATCATGATTTACTAACATAGTCCTTCTATATAAATATTTCAATATTTTAATATATGTACTTAATGTTAATTTTACTTGAAATTTGAGTCGAGCTCGAGCAATCTTTCGAGCATTTCGAATTCAACTGATCTCGAGCCGAGCTCGAGTGATTGTCTTCTTTTGTCGAGTCGAGTGTAATCAACTGAGCTCGAGCATCATAAATCGAGCTCGAGCAATTGTCTTTTTTTGTCGAATCAAACTTGAGTGTCATGAAACGAGCTCGACATCGAGCTCGAGCATGTAATTAAAAAAAAATCAATCTTGTTCGATAAAGCTAATGTTCGACTCAATTCGGTTCGTTGCAAGCATTGTGAAAATGAAAAAAATGATATTCTGTAATTTTGTTTTTATTGTTATTAATTCTATTTTCTTTTGGAGAAGTCCAAACTCCAAAGACTAGTGAGGAGACATCAACAAACACATTTCTTTATCTAAAGAGAGGAAAGTTCGACTCTACCAATGAGTGCAATGCAGTTCTGCATCGGATTTTTTTATGGTTGGAGTAACACATACGCGAACCCTCACAGACTTGTGTTGATCTAACGGTTAAAAAATAAATAAATTAAAACTCAATGAATGCAATAAATGCACCCAAATTAGAGAGTTCTTCTTAGATTGTACGTCCTTGTTGTTTGGAGTCTTTTTTACTCTGCTTAACAGAGTAATTGATAGGAAATTGTGAAGAATTGTGTATTATGGTAGATGTAATCCCAGTTGAGGAACCGTCGATTATCAAGCTTTTTACCGTTAAATTATACCAAAATACTGAAAATAGGTGAATTTTTTTTACTGTTAGATCACTCCCGTACGTACGTATGTGTGTATTTACCCAAGTATAAAAAATGTCATGCGGACACCATCAATTATCGAGTTTTTACTATCATGAGGAAAAATGTAATTGTGTATATTTCAGCTTTTATGCAATTAAAGGCTCAAGGCTAAGATTTGATAATATATAATATAATAGAGTGTATATTTTTTTATTATAATTGTTGTAGCCTTTGCTTCAAAATTAATGCACCTTTGTCTAAAATATGATCTCAAAAGTCTTTCTACGTCGTCCACTAAAAATTTAAACCAAGAAAAAAAAAAAAAAAGGTGCAGTCAACATGCATCTTCATTGCTTTGTGGAAAAATCTGGACTCACCTTTTAATTGTCTAGTTATATTATATATATATATATATTTTTTTATTAGCATAGCATAATATTATAATATGGCTATTTGGTTGATTAATGTGATCGATCAGTTTGTTGCAAATTATGTCAACTTTAATTAACAGCCTTTACCTTAAAAGCCTGTACGTCCAGATTTTATAGCAAACCGATTATTTGTATTCTCTATAAATTATGTAAACACAAATTTTTGATTGAGACATTTTAACAGTTAAATGAATCGATGATCAGTCATACTATTGTGTACTTCATTATATTTAAATAAATATATTCCCCTGCCAACTAGTTTGTTTTATATGAAAAACGTATTCTGAGAATACGTTTTTCAATTAAATTTAATTGAAAAACGTATTCTCAGAATACGTTTTTCATATAAAACAAACTAGTGGGCACTGCCCACCGTGAGCAGGTGAGCGGACTTTTATATTTAAAAGTTTAACAAAGAAATGTAGGTATATACATACTTTGTCAAAGGGGGAAAAAAAAAAAGGAATTTAATAATATGTGTGACAATCTTTCTAGTGTGTAAGTAGCTGTAAAAAATAGTTAGTACTAAAAGCTGCCCTTTCTTTACGTGCAAATTTCAACATGTGCACCCCACTAGCTGGCTGGCTATAGCTTCAATATTTAATTTTTCACCTATGATTTTGCAAACAAATATTATCATTGCCATATATGATTTATTGTTATTATCCAATACATACATACATACAACAAGTAATTAGAGTGATGTGAAGCAAGAACTCATGTGGTGTGGTGTGGTGTTCTTTTTAAATAGCCCGTACCACATTTACTTTATATTTTTTTCTCACATCTTTTCTAACATTTTCTTCCTTTGTTTCTCTCTTGGTAGAGCTAATATTGAAGTAGACATGTATTAGAAAGAAAATGCGCCAGTTTAGAAACAATCGACGGAACGTGCAAGATTTACGAACAATTTTAACCTATACTAGATAATAACCTCCTCACAAAGTGTTCGAACACTTGATCGTCTGGCACGACACTTATCCGAACATATTTACGTGAAAAATTAAATGAAGCTATAGCCAG